CACACTGCTCCTCCTGCAGCCGAGGTTCGACAATCAGCCGGACTCTCCTCTCCAGCACCCTGGCATTGGCCTTTCCGGGGAGGCTGAGAAGTGTGATTCCCCGATAGTTGGAACACACCCTCCGGTCCCCCTTCTTATGAAGGGGAACCACCACCCCAGTCTGCCAATCCAGGGGGACTGTCCCCGACATCCACGTGATGTTGAAGAGCCATGTCAACCATGACAGCCCGACAACATCCAGAGCTCTAAGATACTCAGGACGGATCTCGTCCACCCCCGAAGCCTTTCCACTTTGGAGTTTTTTGACCACCTCAGTGACTTCAGCCTGGGTGATGAATGAATCCAGCCCCAAGCACCCCGTCTCTTCTTCCCCCACGCAAGGCTTGTCTGTCGGGTTGAGGAGATCCTCAAAGTATTCCTTCCACTGCCCAACAATATCCTCCTTCAAGCTCAGCAGCTCCCCACTCCCACTGAAAACAGTGTTAGCGAAGCACTGCTTTCCCCTCCGGAGGCGTCGGACGGTTTGCCAGAATCGCTTTGAGGGCAACCCTTAGTCTTTTTCAATGGCCTCTCCGAACTCCTCCCAGGCCCGAGATTTTGCCTCTGCAACCGCCCGGGCCGCGACATGCTTGGCCTCACAGTACCTGCTTGCTGCTTCAGGAGTCCCACAAGTCAGCCAAGCTGTCAAATGTTATTTAAATGTCTGTTCCCTCCCGTTCTCTCAGCTCGATCCATCTGTTGATGCTGGTTTTTCCCAAAGCCAGTGAGGAGGTTGTGAGGAGGGTGTTTTTAGTTTCTACCCCCAAAATGCGGATTAAGAGGCCATTATAAATAAGAGGCAGACTTACCTGCTGTTTTTAGCTCCTCTCTACAAACTTTTTTCCTTGGCTATTAACTCAGTTTGAGATGTTGGCTCGTATTATTTTACCCTTTTGCTTTACTAATTTAACTATTCTATTAGTTTGATTATATTGTTTCTATTTCATTAAATGATTCTAGAAAATCTGTTTTTGTGTTAGATCAACTAAGATGTATTACTTTTATCAGTGTATAGTACTTTGATCACTGATATTTTTAAAGTTCTTTATAAATAAAGATGTATGTATNATCGCTTTGAGGGCAACCCTTAGTCTTTTTCAATGGCCTCTCCGAACTCCTCCCAGGCCCGAGATTTTGCCTCTGCAACCGCCCGGGCCGCGACATGCTTGGCCTCACAGTACCTGCTTGCTGCTTCAGGAGTCCCACAAGTCAGCCAAGCTGTCAAATGTTATTTAAATGTCTGTTCCCTCCCGTTCTCTCAGCTCGATCCATCTGTTGATGCTGGTTTTTCCCAAAGCCAGTGAGGAGGTTGTGAGGAGGGTGTTTTTAGTTTCTACCCCCAAAATGCGGATTAAGAGGCCATTATAAATAAGAGGCAGACTTACCTGCTGTTTTTAGCTCCTCTCTACAAACTTTTTTCCTTGGCTATTAACTCAGTTTGAGATGTTGGCTCTTATTATTTTACCCTTTTGCTTTACTAATTTAACTATTCTATTAGTTTGATTATATTGTTTCTATTTCATTAAATGATTCTAGAAAATCTGTTTTTGTGTTAGATCAACTAAGATGTATTACTTTTATCAGTGTATAGTACTTTGATCACTGATATTTTTAAAGTTCTTTATAAATAAAGATGTATGTATTGAATATAACACCTACAGCCAGCATGTGGGAGGAGTTAAGTTTGTTGCTAGGCAACATGGCCTGCCCACCTGTTCGATGACATCATTGATTCCATTGTGACATCATCATTGTCTGACTCTGGGTCTATAGAGTGAAGGCATCAAGTCATTCCATTTCTACAAACCTCTTGTAGGGTGTGTGTCTCTTGAGTTCTGTCCTTGAGATTAGAGAAACAGTTTTTTTTCCCCCACAGAGCAAATCAGTCCAGTCATCAGGAAAAAAAGCTTTTTTTGTTGAAAATAAAGCTTTGTGTTTTAAACCGACGAACAAACTATTGTTGCCCTTAGGAGGCTCCCTTAAATTAGCAACAACTCCTCTTTCTTTGTTGGCAAATCAGGTAAGTTAAACGTGGTGCCTTCAGTTAAAGCCGACATGTTGACGCAAGCTAATGTAGAAAATACTATGGAAGTTACATCTGGTAGCATAGCTGCAAACTGTTCTGGAAATGCATGTTCGGCTGCTGTGCCTCAGGAAATGGATGCAGCGTTTGGACATACCAATGAGGGAGCTAGGCAGCTGGAGTCTGAGCTAACGGCTGAAAGGGAAAAGGTGCAGCAGGATGAGAAAATGGCCGCGCTTCAACAAAAAAATATTAGATTATCAGAAAATCTGCAGAGACATGCCGCTGAGCTTGAAAAACTGGAGGCAGAGGCTAAATCTGCTAACGAGAAAGCTCGGATACTGGAGACTGTGGTAATTTGTATGAAGCAAAGTGTGGAGGAAGCTGCGATCTGGATAAACTCAATATTTGAGCACATCATCGCACTTCAAGAAAAAAACATCAAATTATCCAAAAACCTGACGAGGACAGCAGTGCAGGAAGCTGAGCTCGACTTAAAATTAACAGAAGAGGGGAGAGCAGCAGTTCAACAAGTAAACACCATGTTATTAGAACGAGTTAAGATTCTCTCTGACTTACCTCAGAAAACGGAGGCAGCTGTTCTTGCTAAGGCGGAAAAAGCAAAGGAGGCTGAGATCGGCTTAGCCCAAAACGTGCAGGAAAACAACCAATTAACTGAGGATGCTGCAAGAAAAGTCATGGAACTGGAAATGAGTCTGCTTGCTGAGAAAGCCAGAACAAAGGAGGCCGAGACCTCCTTAGCTGAGAAGGAGCAGGAAACCAGTTCCTTAAAGGCTGCTTTGCTGAAGATGGAACAAGATATAAAGGAGCAAACAGAGCTCTGGGCCCAGGAAAAGTCCCGTCTCCTGAGCAGGAATATGGGGCCCAGGGCTGCTCAGCAGCAGGTCCTCATTAAATATATGGCAAAAGCTATAAACGACCTTCTGGAGGTTCTGCATGATGAAAGGCAACAGTGGCAAACAGAGAAGGCCTGCCTTCAAGAGACAGTTGCAAACGCTAAGAAGGCTCTGACAAAGATGGAGGAGGAGAGGAAAACATTTACAGAGAGCCTAACGGAGCAGCTCAAAAAAATGCAACAAATGATTAATAAATACCAAGAAATAAAACCAAAACAGATATCTATATGGCAAAGAATTGTCAACTTCTTCAAACAACTAATCTCTGGCGAACCTCAAGAAACTGTCCCCCAAACAAGTTTAAACTGACAAAAAAACATTTATCTAATTACAAAACTTCACTTCTAAACGCTTTACATTAACCCCCTTCCTCAGTGTTAGCCCATAACCATCACCCTTAACTTTCATAATTCTTCCTTTAACCCTTTACTCCCCAGACCCTTTCACAGAATCCAGAATCCAGTTCATAACATTTAGCTCTCACCCTCCATAAACTCTATAGTTCCCTGTAAATAAAAAAGCACTGCCTCCATACCAGGGCCTTTTTCTGAGGTAGATTCCTACCTTGGTATTAATTAGACCCTGGTAAACTGAGTGAGGCTGCACGTGGTACAGTGGTCAGCGCTGTTCCCTTGCAGAAGGAGACCTTTCTGCATGGAGCTGCCATACTCTCCCGTGCCTGTGTGGGTTCTCTCCGGGTGCACCGGCTAGCCCACCCTTCTTTTGTCACAGTCAAATGTATTCATATATAAAAATATTTACGATAAATACAAAACTGGCGTTTAAAAAAACAACACAAAACAGCTTAAGAAGACCTCGTTAATTTATTTATTTTACACATTTGTAAAAAGAGCAACCGATTAAACTGTATGTTACAAAGTTGACATGATTATATGAACTGTTTTCACCGAAAAATGATCAGGAGCGCCTTGAAAATGGTCAGATCTGCCTCTCTGGCTGCAATGCGCGCTGCCGACACAGGGGGAACAGATTTTCACAGGGAAACAGAATTTCACACAAGACCGGCATCATTCAGTTCGCTTTTCAGAGACCTCAAGCTGATGTGTACACCATGTAAACATGACATCATGTCTACGATTACAGCGTACGAGTGACCCTCATTAAAATAATGTATGCACTGCTGCAGCATATCTGATTCTTCCGTCTGTTCTGTACCATTTAAAAACTCCAAGGACCGACCACAGGAAAAATAAAACCGCGTTAAACTGCTCATATGAGTGCTGCAGAACGGGCAAAACGCAACTCGATTAGCTTCCATCTTCCGTCATCATGAACGCTCCGGTTATCACTTCCGGGTAAGCTTCGAAGACAGTCCCTCCCTTTCCGTCGGATTTTGTCAGTTGTAAAAGTGTTTTCTGAAATGTACATTTGTTTTATGATTTGTAAAAGTGTTTCGTTTGTTGTAATTTTGTTTTCTGAAATGTAAATTTGTTTTATGATTTGTAAAAGTGTTTCGTTTGTTGAAATTTTGTTTTCTGAAATGTAAAGTTGTTTCAAGATTTGTAAAAGTGTTTCAGATTTTGTATTGTTGGTTTGCACTTCCCGGCCACCGTAGTTTTATCTTCTAAATGTTTCCCCTAATCATATGGGTGCACACTCTAAATCCTTGTTTACAATTCTTCAATTTCTTGCCAAGAAATGTATTTTGTTACAATGGACCTCTCCTTCTGCTCCCACAGTAAATATATGGCTCACAGAGATATCTGTTATCCTCGTACTCGTCGTCTCCCGCTTTATCCGGAACCGGGTCGCGGGGGCAGCAGACTAAGCAGAGACTCCCAGACTTCCCTCTCTGCAGACACCTCCTCCAGCTCTGTTGCGGGAAGCCCTAGGCGCTCCCAGGCCAGCCGAGAGACATCGTCTCTCCAGCGTGTCCTGGGTCGTCCACTGGGCCTCCTCCCAGTGGGACGTGCCTAGAACACCTCCCGAGGGAGGCGTCCAGGGGGCATCCGAAGAAGATGTCCGAGCCACACTGAGCCTCTCCCGAATGACCGAGCTCCTCACCGACAGACCTGTGCAGTGTCCGCATTATTGCAGCAGCCGCACCGATCCGTCTATTGATCTCCCGCTCCATTCTTCCCTCACTCGTGAACAGGACCCCAACATACTTAAACTCCTCCACTTCAGACAGGGACTCTCCTCCAACCTGAAGCCCTTGCCTCACAACGCTGCCAGTTCTGTTAGCTCTACGCCTGCCGAAGACACAGACGTCCATCCCCGTGAACACTGGGACGCAACTCAATGGGAAAGGAATATATTCTTATTTCAACCGTTGTGTATATTAGCGGCGACATATAAATCAAGATGCTATGACCGAAAAAATTTGATTGACAGATGACCGTTGATATATGATTGGCCGAATTTAGGTGTTCAGGCTGACGTAGAACTAACTGGCCTGCAGAAGATAACGAAAAAAAAACAGATTTTAAGACGGGATGTTTTTAAAAATAGAAATTTTCTAACTTTTGGGACAATATGGTCTGATAAAGATAGATTTATATACATCAGAACTATTTGAAATTTAAAATATGACTTCCCTACGACTGTAACTAACAAATAATATGCCAACAGGACGCTGTAATTAGTTATAAAGACATTATATGCAACCAGAGGGAGAAACGGATAAATACATTGTAAAAACAACTTTAAAAAGCCTCTAAAAGATTACTTTTGATTACTTTTTTAAAGTTGAGATGAAATTACAATTGAAATTTTAAATGTAATATTTTTGTTATTTAATGCTTTAGCTTGTGCCTGTTTGCTGCTATATACAACACATCTCTGCAAGTTCATGCAGTAAGATAGTGAGCATTAACACTTCTTCTCTGAAGAATATAAGAGAGGCCTTTAACTTATTCTTTATTCTCACATCAACCCAACAAAATCCCTAAAATGTCCTCCAGAATCTGGTTTTATTTGTTTTAGCAGAGACTCTAATGCTTATGCGATATTCAACAGGCCCAATGGATTCATCAATATGTCTGAGGAAATGACTGATATTATCGAGCAACAAGGTGTGTCCAGGGGGGACTAATGCAATTGCTCTTATGACATTGATTTCCCAGTGAAAATGTCAATGTATTCATTATTCATCTGAGCAAAGTGTTTGCATGTGACAGTAAGGCGTAGAGAAGGCCGCTCATTGTCCGAGACGCGGTGGAAGATTAATTGATGGGTTATCAGTGGTGGCAAACTGTGATGCAGCTACAGCAAGATGAGCCAGTTCAGGGAAAACATTGCCTATTTTTTTATTTTAGCTTTTGGTTCTGACATTTTTTCTAATCAGATCAGCTTTACAGGATCTGTTAGTTCTGTAAAAACTTAGCTGAACAAAACACGTGCCTGTTACTTTTAGCAGAATGAAAGATTTTAGATACAACACAAGCATGCTTAGTGTGAGGGATTGCCTTCGAGTCAATGAGTCGATGCAATCAGCTGGTTTTCCTTCGAAAACTTTAAATCAATCTGATCTGGTGAACTGTAAAGAGCCTTGAGATGACATGTGTTGTGAATTGGTGCTATAAAAAATAAACTGAATTGAACTGAATATTTGTAGAAAAACAAAAACCAACCGAAAACCACATGAAGTTTCTCAGAATTAACCACAGATCAGAAAATAAGCACAAACACAGACACCATCCTCCAGCTCACACAAACACCCCCACACACCCACACGCTGTGCATCATGTCAAAGAAAATCCATACTGGTATGGATCCCAAATACATTAGCCACGCCCTGTTTCACTCTGTGACATCTAACGGGTTTTTCCCCCCCCTTTGGTGCTCTTTCCTGATACTCACATTTGCAATGCTTGTCACAGAGGGCGGCCTGCCTCATGTCACAGAGGCGTATGGAGCCTTTGCTGCTGCTGTAGGCGAAGGTGTGACACTGCTGGGGGTGAAACTCTGCTGAGGTGATGACTTCCGTCAGCTCCTCCATGTTGGCTGGCTTAATGTCTACAATGTCTGAGAGACGCAGGCTAAGGACCAAATCTAAATAAGTCATTTTTTCTAAAAAAAAAAGTGCATTTGTTCTTGAATTGAGGAGTTAAGTGAGATACTTTGCCAATGGAACGAGACAATTTACATTTAAAATAAGAAAAAGCAACCGCATTGTCTTATTTCAAGTGCATATTATCTAATAATCTTATTTTAAGAATAAAAATACTCAATCCATTGGCAAATAATCCCATTTACCTACTAAAACGAAGTGTAAATACGTTTGATTTAAGACATTTTTACTTATGTCTAGACCATTTTTGCAGTGTGCAGGCTCAGACCAAAAAGCGGTGATCTGAGGTCGCACACAGACACAGGAAGGAAGAGATCACCAAAATCAAACCTTGTTTATTTACATCACTATGACGGTCCGTCATAGAGAACTGCTGCAGATTTAGGTGCAAAAATGCCTGAAGAACAAGTTCCGCATTCATTTATGAAAGCTTGTATAAAAATGTTCAGACTACATAAATGGTTGTTGGCCAAAAAGAACCATTAAATAAAGACGACACCCTTATTTTCATACCTTCAAATGTCCCATTGAATTTGGGACACCAATGAAAGAAACAGGGTACAAACAAACCTAAAGCGCAGCTAATCACACAAAACCTAGCTGCAAATATTAACTTTGATTTCACTAACCCTAACACTCTATTTGAAAATTATGGAGTGAACTTTGTTCCATTATTCTTGCAGACAGAGATGTTTTGTAAATTACAATTTAATAAAAATACAATCCAGAAATGAAAAGCGCAATTAAAAAAGGGAAGTAGCTTCTCAGATTGGATTCCTACAGTAATTCCATTTAATATTAAACTTTATCTAGGTTTTGCACCTTTTAGACGTTTAAATTTTAGATTTTCAAATTGTTTTCAGATTAAATTTTTATGAATTCAAATCGCATTTTACAATTTTGCAATTTATCATCACTTGAAGCCCAATACAACAGCTCGCTTTTGATGAATAAAAATGTTGTTGCTAACATCCATGCAGACCAACTGAAATGAGTTAACCTGCTCCAAACATTTAAAGAATGCAATTAGTCAATTTAAGCAGGAGAAACAGAAATTAAAAAAAATAATAATAATCCCCCCAAAGGAAGAAAAAAACCAAAAACAAAGAGATTTTTAAAAATCTGGATTTTGAAGAACATTTCCTTTTTCTCCACCTTGGTCCTCTATTATCGACTTACCAACAAAACACCAGAAAAATGATCAAAATTAAATCTTTATAAAGGCTAAATGCTAACTCTTTGTTTTTAGGATCCAAAGTGTGATTAAAAGGATACTGAAGCTGCGGTCCGTGATCTCCAGGTTCCACAGGTTCACCCGGAGGTCATCCGTGGAGATGAAGGTCTGCAGGTCAGAGTTCACGGAGATGGAGTTGATGTGGTACGTGTGGGCGTTGCTGAAGACGCGCCTGGCTGTCGCCTCCACCATCAAATCCATGGGCTGCAGAACAGGCACCTGTGTGTGTGTGTGTGGGGGGGGGGAGATTCGTCAGCGTCATATATCAGAAAATATGCAAAAAAATATACATCTTTCATGCCGACTGTCAGATTCATACATTATTCTGCTTGAACTTCACATTGTTTCCAGAAAGCGTCCTCAGATATGTATCTTTCTGAGCCGATTAGCATAGATTTCCCAGTTCTCTTCTTCTAGCATCTGCATTGAAGATGATTCTGAGGCGTAATCTGACATTTATTCCAGGATTTATAATGAAGCAGAGATAAAAACTCAGCATTACTCCCTGCTGCTGAGTGGGCTGCTCCAGGCAGATATTGTGATGCTCCCAGTAACTCAGTGATCACACCTCAATTTCTCCTCACCCGACTGCTGAAGATGTCAGCCTCGTTCGCTTTTATTGTTTGCTCGACTCACAGATATTTGGGAAAAAAGTGATGGAGGTGGGAAAAGAGAGAGCCTGGGGGCATCGCAAGGCCCTGCTGAGGAATGATAACTGAACGCTACAGAATTAAGATGGCCGCACATTAAAGTCCCAGCAACACACACGGTCTGCACAAAGCTGCGGGAGCTTCAAAGATGCCCATCAACCGCCCCTGCATGCAGCCCCCCCCCCTGCTGCCCAGATAAAACCCAGACAAAGAGAGAAAAGAGGGGAGGGAGTCAGGAGGACAAATCGTCCGCTTCTTCCCCATTGGTTTTTTTTGTCCGCTGCTGGCGCTGATTGAAAGACGTGACAGCCCAGCAGGTCGCTGTATCTCCACGGGTGTCACTTCCCTTCCATGTCTTCCCCCAGCCGTCCAGAGAGACATGCGCCTTATTAACCCATAACCCAGAACACCGACTGTCAGCGGTCTACAACCTGTCTCATCTCCGTAGGTTTTCACCCTGATTGTTTGCTGATTTCCGATCTAGTTTGAAACGTGCGTATAGATCAAAATATATCTTCAAAGACGACTTTTTCTCGTGAGACACCCTCCCTTCTGCTTCACTTTCCCTTCACAGCATCTAAAAAGGATTGCCACAGTCGCGGCCTGTCCTCTAGGCAGCTATGATCCCCTGGCCAGCCAGACAAAGAAGGGACAGACATGCTAAACTCAGCGCTAATCTGCAATGACAGATAAGCACACGCTGCGTACACGCAATGAGCTTGTGTGAAAAATTTAATTGGTGGATAAGCTATAAAAATAAATCTCTCCAATACTAACCGTTGCTTTAAATTGCTCAGAGACAACATACCTCAAATTTGTTTGCCATAAAAGCGATTATCTGATATTACAACTGAAATAAAGTTAAAAAATGACGTGATGATGAAAGCATTTGTTTTCCCTCCTGACCCATGAGTAATGGTATCCCAGCGAGATGCTTGATTGTCTGGATGACATCAAGTTTTTTGGTAAAGTGTGACTCATTGCGTAAAAAGCGTTGCGACCAAAACGATATTACTGATGATTGATGTAATAATTTCTGTCATGATCTGGCCTGTTTGCTTCCTCCTAATTAGTAATTCCTCTCACCTGCTGTTTTCCCTCCCGTCCTCAATTACAATTTCTTCCCCTCACCTGTTTCCTCTGGTTTAAATTCCCTTCAGCCTGAGCATTTAGTGCCAGATCATTTCTTGTCTTTCTGTCAGTCTGTCGTTTCAGTTTCAGTTTTAGTTCATGGTTCATGTCCTGGATCCTGGCAGCCAGTGGAAAGAGGGTTTTTGTGTTTGTCTCGTCTCCTAATTGTTTACTGTTCCTCCCCTGCTGAGTCCTCTGGGTTTTTGGCTCTATATGGGGGGAGGTTCAGTTTTTATCTCAGTAAGCCTGGCTCCAGGGAGGAGACCAGTTTAAAGTCCTGCATCAAGTTCCGGTTCCACGTCCTGTCTCGGCTACCCTCTTCCACTGAGCCTGCCTGTCTGCACCTGATCCTGTCTGCTTCTGGTCCCAGTCAGACTCTGAACCCTCCTAGGAGCCTGTGGATGCCTGGAAGTCTGGATCCTGCCACCTGTCTCTGTTCCTGCCTGATCTGGATCCTGTTCCTGTCTGTTCTGGATCCCTGACCAGGATCGGCTTCCAGCATCACCTCTGGGACTGCAGCACTTGAGGACATTCTTTGTCTGGACTGTTAAACCAGGTAAGTGACCAACAGATAATCTTCTGTCAGATGATCGTGGTCACTTACCTGTGTTTCTCCCACTACAGAGTGTCTGAGATTGGGCGGTGCCCCGCCTGCAGTGTCCGCGAGCCACAGCTCCGCTTTTGTTTTGTTTTATTTAATAAACTTTTGGAGTTTCCTACTGACTGTCTCTCCTTGAATACTGGGTCCATCTGTCCTCGGTTCATGACACATTTCAAGGGTAAAATAGTTTTTAATCAAAACAAAAATGCCTGTTGAGGGAGAAAACGGGGGTGAAGTATACTGCAGAGCGGGAACGGTGGGTTTGTTATGGACAGCTGCTGAAGTTTTCATGGATTATGATACAGCTACGCCTTAGTGTTGTGTTTAAGCTTTTTCCTCCCACACCGATAAAGATGGCGGCAGTATATTAAAGTTTCCTAAGGATCCTGAGCTGGTCTCAAAGTGGGTGAAGCAGGTCAGATGAGATCAGGAGAAGTTCATGGTGTTTCTTCTTTGGTTGGAACATTTTTGAGAAGGAGTTTTATTTTTTTCTCTTCTTTTTTTCCTTTATTGAAAGAGTCGCTTGGTTCGACAGTGAAACAGTAATGCGTTCTGCTGCCAACAGCAGTACCTACAGCAGAGAGAGAACATTAACCTGTCTATGAACTGACTAGACCTATAACAATATAGTAGATAGCTTCTTCCAAAAGAAGTGGATTTATTTGAAAATCATGTATTTCAAAGTATTATATACTGTTTTATATTTATAAACTAATAACTGGTTATGCTATCTGTACCAGAGGCGTAGCAAGACGTGTTTCCCCGCTGTGTGTTTTCTACCGGGGCTGCTGCCGTCATATTAGCCTCACCATCCGACTCAGAGTCTGACTCTGTAGGCTTGAGGTCCGCTTTGAATGGTTCTGACATCTAAAGCCGGACTTACACTGTGCGATTTTTTGCCCTTTTCGGGCCGACTTTCCAGTCATGCAAAAAATGTTCCGATCGGCCTTACTTTAAGCCTGATTGTGCGTCGTGTAGTGCAGCGGTCCCCAACCTTTTTTGCACCACGGAGCGCTATATGTCAGACAATATTTTCACGGACCGGCCGAGGATGATATGATGATACGACTGGCATAAAATCAAATACAAACTGCATAAAAATAAAACAACAAGCCGGTCCCATCTAGGCGTAATCGGAGACAATGACAGATGAAGTGTGCTCCTGATATCCAGTCTGCTGCGTAGCTTTGTTTTGGTCGCTGTAACCGCAGAAAATCCCGCTTCACAAAGATAGGATGTTATAGATAGGATGAGTCTTGACCTGAATTAACCTGTGTTAAGAGGCGCAGTTGCACCGACTGATGTAATTGGGAGAGAATACCGCAATTTTTTTTATATTTTTCAAAATAAAACATCACTCAGACTCTGATTGTCGATAAATTATATATATATATATATATATATACTTTTTTCTGTGCGGCCTGGTACCAAATGACCAACGGACCGTGGCCTGGTGGTTGGGGACCACTGCTGTAGTGTACAGGGGGTAACGAGGGGCAATCAGCCTCTCATGACCACCTCCCGATCTCAAAGGGGTTCTCCTGATATTTTGCAGCGTTTCTTTTTGGAAAACATTTAGGTGAGGATCAAAACGTTTTTTTTTTTATATTAGAATAGTGCTTATACATAGAAACCTTTCTTTAATGCCTTTCTATCATACAGATACAACATTTTCCATTTAAGCTTTGTAATTTAGGAGCTGTGCTTGATTTATTTCAGGAAGTTGCTCCTAAAACCGTCTGGGATTAAAGTGTTAAATATGCTGCATTCCTAAATCCTAACCATCGTGTTTCCCTCAGAGTTTATAGTGTCGTCAAGCTATACTGAAATGTTCTTATAGTGTCCTGAAAAACTGGAGCATACCTCATAAATTATTAAAGCGGAGACACATTTAGTGAGATTCCAGGGGACAACATGAACTCAAAGGACTAAAAAAAGTGAACAAAAGCAGCGAGTCCGGTCTGTCAAATGACGGAGAATTCAGCAAGAGCATAATCTCACTCTGACACAAACAGGGTCATCCAAATTTTAATTTGAAAACTGTATTCAGTGGGGAACGGTTGTTTTAAAATCCTCCTGCTTTCCCTTCAGCTCGCCCCGTGGGTTTTCTGTGGGATTTGGATCTGAGAGAAGGAAGTCTTTGTGTCTACTGAAGCATTTCGGTTTTAATTTGGTCCTTTTTAAACAGGGGGGGGGGGTCGTACTGGCAGAGTCTACCAGGGTTATGTTTAAAATGTCCTGTTATTTCAAACAGAAAATATGGAATCAATCCTGTATAGGAGAAAGAGGCCATCAGCATCTCCAACATTAAAAATTCTGTTTTTCTTTTAAGCAGCTCCTAAAATCACGTTTGGAACATAAATTAACTTTTTTCATTTGTCCAATATAAACTAAACTATTTTTTTTTTTTAGAAACAGTAAATAAAGAAGCGGTGGGACATTTAACCCTGTAATGCCAAATGTATCGTATTTGATACATACGGTTTCTGAAATGTTTTGCGTCTGACACCTTTTGCATAATTTAATGGTAAAAACTTTGCTCAAAATCCTATTGTACACAATCAGATATACCTGATAACAGAGGACAGAAGACTACACAAAAACTAACATTGACTTATCGCATAGTAATAAATTCTTAATATAAAAAATGTATTTCTGTTTTTTCTTTTTACATATTTTGTTAAAAGGCCAAATTTTCTGTTTTGTTTTATTCTTGGATCGGGCTTTAAAGGGTTAAAATGTACTTTATCAGCATAATTTTATTTCACAGTAGATGAGATAATATATATATATATATATATATATATATATATATATATATAAATATAAGAAGAGGAACTACAGGGCGCGTTAGAGGCCAAGAAGCTCCTTTCAATTTTAAAAATATTCCTTTATTTTGATCTTTAACTGAACCACAGAGCAAATGTTTATTTTTTTAATCAATCATTTAATCATTTCTTCTCTTGTCTCTTTCAGTAAACTTGAGCTGAAATGTTTTTTTCAAATGGGGCTTTTTTATGAGCAAAAATCAATTACTGCTTTAATAAATACATATTCTGCTACCACACTGCAAAAACGATCTAGAAATAAGTCAAAATGTCTTAAATTAAGTGCAATTACCCTTGATTTGAGTAGGTTGATTAGATGATTTTTAAATGGAATGAGAATTTTGCCTCTTAAAATAAGTGAAATAGTTTTTTTCTTATTTTAAATGTAAATTGTCTTGTTCCATTAGCAAAGTGTCTCACTTACCTCCTCAGTTCAAGAAAAAAATGCACTTATTTTAAGAAAAAATGATTTTTCCCAGTGCATATACATCACATCCAATATTAAAGCGAACTAGGAGGTTATAAATACATGGGGGGAAGGGGCAACTAGCGGGAGACGCCATGTTGCGACGCCATTTTTGATCAGTGTTGCTGAAAGGAGACAATCCTTTCAGGTTTACATCTTTTAACTGAATCCGAAAATGTGTTGTGGGTTGGAGAGGCGTTTAAAATTAGCAAAAAAAAAAGATTGATCATTCTACCTCCTACTTTCTGTTTCAATGGAGGACCATCTGTAATCTTTGACCAGTGAGAGGCAAAGACTACAGATGTACGGATGGTCTTTTGAGTGGTTGTTACATGTAAGAGATTATTGTGATATTATCTCTGACTCATCTTTCATGTGATTAAAGTGACATCTAAGGCGTCTCTGATTCATTCTGACAGCAGCTGTCTGAACTGTGGTCCGATCCGAGATGGCAAGTCGCCCAGCGACCAATGAGGCGTCTGCATATATGGCGGCACCAGTCTGTCGTTTGTTATCCATCTAATGCACAACTAGATGGGTGTAAATCATGCAAACTGTCCCTTTAAAGGAGAAGTCCGGTCATTTTCAGAATTCAAACTTCTGAAAGTCCTTTACATATTAAATTATTCCATACTGTTCAATAAATAAGAAGTGTTTTTTAATTCAGAGTAATTTTCATTAGAATGTGCTTTATTGGAGGCATCCATGTTTGTCAAAGAACACTACTGCCACCTACTGGTTTTTGACGTCACGGTGCGGTATCGGCTGTTGATCAAGTCCCAGTGCTGTATCTGGTGTTTGTCACAACGCGCTGTTATCCAAGTCATCTTGAAAACATTCTTCTTCCAAATGTTGGCTACATATTACGGGTTTTTTCTCTGGCCAGAAGTTCGATGGCGAATCCTCCCTCTTCAAGTTGGCAATCCTTCTTTAAAGGAAACTTTAAAGAAAGTTTTAATAAAAAATAAAAAAAAGTGTTTTGAGGTCACTTTGCTGTTTTCTGAATTTAATTTTATTTCAAAGATGTTTT